TATTTCAATAATTTCAATAAGCATTTGATAAAATACATTTATGATAAAAGCCATCAGCAAACCAGGATTAGAAAGAAACTTCCCCAATGTGATAAAGGGTGATCATGAAAAACTTAAAGTTAATATCATTCTTAATAGTAAATGCTGAATTTTTGTCCCTAAAAATCAGGTACAAAACAAAAGATGCCTGCTCTTACCACTTCTAGTTAACACTGTACTGAAGGTCTTGGCTAGTCCAATAAGACAAGCAAAGGAAACAGAAGTCATACAGATTGAAAAAGAAGAAATAAAACTTCCTTTATTTAGAAATGATGTGACTGTATATGTATACAATCCTAAGGAATCTAAAAAAAAAAAAAACTAGACCCAATTATTGAATTCAGTAATGTGCCAGAATTCAAAGTCAATACAGTTGGCCCTCCATATTGGCAGGTTCTGCATCTGTGGATTCACCCACCACAGATGGAAAATATTCAGAAAAAAAATCTAGAAAGTTCCAAAAAGCAAAACTTTGTTTTGCATGCCAGTAAAAATTTATATAGCATTTACATTTTATTTACAACCATTTACATAGTATTTACATTGTATTAAGTATAATAAGTAATCTAGAGATGATTTAAAGTATATGGTAGTATGTGCATAGGTTATATGCAAATATTATACCATTTTATATAAGGGTCTTGAGTATCTGTGGATTTTGGTATCTGCAGGGTGTCCTGGAACATATCTCCTGCAGATACTGAGGGACAGCTGTAAAAAAAAATGAGTTTCATTTCTATATCATAGCAACCAGCTATATGAAATTGAAATAAAAATATAATTTATAAAGCAGCAAAAAATTAATTACTTAGAAATCAATTTAAAAAAATAAGATCAAGACCTATACAAGTGAAAACTAGAAACAATGCTGGGAGATTTAATGTAATCCTAATCAAAATGCTGGAAGAATTCTTTTTTGTTGTTGTTATCCTTACTTTTTGGTAGAACTAAACAAGCTGATTCTTCCCACACCCCCAGTTTTATCCAGAAATAATTCACAAACATCAATGTATAAGTTTAAGGTGTACAGCAAGATGGTTTGCTTTACATATATTGTGAAATGATTACCACAATGTTTATTTAACTTCCATCATCTCATATAGATAAAATAAAAAGAAGAGAACAAAATTCTCCTTGTGATAAGATAAATTTATATAGAAACAGAAATCACCTAAAATAGCCAAAATTGTTTTGAAAAAGTATGAATTTGAAGGACTTTACCTGCTTTCAAGACTTGCTATGAAGCTACATTATTCAAGACAGTGAGACAAAAAAATTGTAACTATGTATGGTAATAGATGTTAACTAGATTTACTGTGGTGATCATTTCACAATATATATAAATATTAAATTATTATGTTGTATGCCTGAAACTGATGTAATGCTATATGACAATTATATCTCAATTAAAACAAGAAGAAAACACAGTGTGGTATTACTATATAAATAGTCACATAGATCACTGGAACAGAATAGTGTTCCTAAGAACAGAACTACACATATATGATCAATTGATTTTTGACAAAGATTCCAAGGTAATTCAATGGAGAAATTAATAATTTTTTCAACAAAGGTGCTGGAACGACTGAATATCCATATGGAAGCAAATTAACCTTGAACCTTATTTTGCACCATATATAAAAAGTACCTCAAAAATGATCATAGGGCTTCCCTGGTGGCGCAGTGGTTGAGAGTCCGCCTGCCGATGCAGGGGACACGGGTTCGTGCCCCGGTCTGGGAAGATCCCACATGCCGCGGAGCGGCTGGGCCCGTGAGCCATGGCCACTGGGCCTGCGCGTCCGGAGCCCGTGCTCCGCAACGGGAGAGGCCACAACAGTGAGAGGCCCGCGGATCGCAAAAAAAAAAAAAAAAAAAAAATGATCATAGCCTAAATATAAGAAATAAAACTACATAATTTCTATAAGAAAACAGGAGAAAAGCTTTGTGACTTTGGGTTAGGCAAAGATTTCTTAAATAAGAAACAGAAAAACATGAACCATGAAAAAGTAATAAATTGAATTTCAACAAAATTAAAAGTTTATGCTTTTCAAAGACAATGTTAAGAAAAAATGAAAGACTAAGCCACAACTGAGAAAACCTTTGAAAATCACATATATGACCAAGGACTTGCAAACAGAATACAGAAATAATTCTTGGAACTAAATAGTAAGAAAACAGACAACCCACATGGGCAAAAGACAAGGACACTTCACCAAAGGTTTTATACAGATGGCAAATAAGCACATGAAAAAAATGCTCAGTACCATTAGCCATTAGGGAAATGCAAACTAAACCCACAATGAAATGCCACTATGCACCTATTAGAATGCCTAAAATCAAAAATACTGATAATACCAAGTGCTGACAACCATGTGGAACAACTGCAACCCTTATATATTAGAAGTGAGAATGAAAAATGATACAGTAACTTTGGAAAACAGTTTGACAGTATCTTATAAAATTAAACAAATACCTACAATGCAACCCAGTAATCCCATAGATGGAAACAACCTAATAAACAACCCAGATGTCCTGGAATGAACTGGTGAATGAGTGGTATATCCACACAATGGAATTATCGCTAAGCAATTAAAAGAAAATTAACCAACTACTAATACATGCAAAAATATGGATGGATATCAAAGAAATTAAGTGAAAGAAGCTAAACAAAATATCACTATTGCATTATTCCATTTATATGACATTCTAAAAAAGCAAAATTATGGTGACAGAATGCAGATCAGTGTTTGCCAAGGGCGAGGGTGAGAGCAAAGACTGACAACAAGGGGAGAACATTAGAACTTGATGAAGTGATAGAGATGTTCCATATCTTGATTATGGTGGTAGTTACACAACTATATGCACCTGTTAAAACCCATAGAAGTAGACATTTGGTGAATTTTATTGTTTGTAAATTATACCTAAACCAAGGTGATAAAGAATGAAATCCTAAAAAAAAAAATCCTAGAACTGAATTAAAAGAGGGTTAAACAATCTAATATTTTTTAAAAAGCAAACTAATACATAAAGAAGGATAATACACCATGATTAGGTGGGGTTTATCCCAGCAATACAATGTTCATTTAACATATGAAAATTATTCAAACCAAATTCACCACATTAACAGATTACAGTGTAAAAGTATATGATCATTTTAATAGATTAGTGGTTCTTTTTTGTCCCTCGGTAAAGTTGACAATGTCTGGCCTTCAGTAGACAGAGACCAGGAATGCTGTTAAACACCCTACAATGCACAGGGTAGACTCCAATTGAGAATCACTATTCCATACTCTACTTTCCCAGCTCAAGACTATATTTATATTTACATACATTGCTATTGGGTACGTACAACTAGTCTCTTGTTCCTTGCTATATAATACCTTACAGTAAGCATCCCCCATTATGTTTCTCATCCATACCCTGGTGATAAATACATAAGTTGCTTCTAACTGCATTGCACCACACACAACACTGCCATGCAATCAACAGCCTCATGGACCTCTATGAGAATTTCTCTGGGATATATATTCATGAATGGAACCCAAGATCATACACATGCTTAACTTTGATAAATACTACCCAGGTGCTTTCTGGAATGGCTGAACCAGTTTAATACTGTGTAAAAAAGAGTTAACATATCAGGCCTGAGACTGCTATCCCTAAAAAGGCCTGCTTGAAAGGTTGGCCCTTGGCTGGCATCTTGGAACTTGGATCTCAAGAGATTTTTCACCATTCCCTGACAAGTGTGGCTCACTGTGCCTAAACTATTTGTATGAACAATGTGGTTTATGCAGAATACTTGCTTTCCTTCTGGGAGTCTGGAATATTGGTACATGCTAGGCAGAGGGTGCCTACATGACCAGTCACCCATAGAAATCTTGGGCACTGAGTCCCTAATAATTTTCCCTGGTGGACAACATTTCAAAAGTGTTGTCACAACTCATTGCAAGGGGAATTAAGTGCATCCTGTGTGACTCCACTGGGAGAGGACTCTTGGAAACTTACACTTGGTTTCCTTCACACTTTGCCCCATGTGCCTTTTCCTTTTGCTGATTTTGCTTTGTATCCTTTAGTTGTATTAAATCACAACCATGAGTATGACTATATGGTGAGTTCCGGGACTTGTAGCAAATCACTGAACATATGGGTGGCCTTAGGGCTATCCCCCACTACACATTCCCATAGTAAAAGCAGGAGAATTTGCAAGGAAACTTACTCTTAGTTGCACACTTTCATGTGTCATTTGAATTTTATACCATGTGCATGTATTATCTCTTTAAAAATAAATACTTTATAAAACGGGGGAGAAGAGTTGTCAAAACAACTAGGTCACCTGTGAATAAGACACAAAAGATATTAGAGAACCACAGAGGTATAAAGTGAAACCTTCTTAAATCCATGTGAGGAAGCCCAAAGACGGTAAGGAACTTACCCAAAGTTACCCAGACAATCATTATACAGGACTCACATCCTCACTTCCCTGTTTCCTAGTGTTCCTTCCTCTAAATCATGTAGCCCCTTTTCCTACACTTGTCACTTCCCCTACCCTAGTGTTCTCTCTTAAATGCCTTGCAGGGATCCAGTTTCATGCTGACCATGGTCTCTCCTTTCTCAGATTCCTGGAATATATGAATATGTTCAGAGTCCCTCCCAAAACACTGGGTCCCATGGAAACTGAGCCCCATAGGAGCAGAGAAGAGAAGTTGAAGAAAAATCCTACTGATAATTATCTGGAAGGAGAGAAAAAAGGCAGGGAGAACAGTAAAGAAGAAGAGTCCTTGGACAAATCACAGTACCTTCCTAAGTCCTCATACTCTAGCAAGGGGATGAACATCAGGGTCAGAGAGGAATCCATCCCCTACCATGGGGCAAAGCAACTGAGCAGAACCAAATAGCTCAGAGACTCCTTCCATGGCTTCCAGACATCTCTCAAAACCCTCCCCAAAGGGGAAGATGCTTACGTGCTCCAGGAAGCAGGGTCCTATCTCGCTGAGGTGGGGGTCATCATTGTTGTACTGTTTCTCCAGGTCTCTTACGAAGCCCATCTGAAACCTGTAGATGTCTTCAATGTTCCCAAAGATCACCTTCAGTTGCTCATCACTGAACATGTCCCTTCTCTTCCGGCATTGCTTCAGGTAGCCCTGCAGACAAAGCAAAAGCTCAGGTTGAGGATGCCCTTCACTCCCTGGGGGCTTTACCACTTCCTGAGCATTTGGGAGCCTTATTTCAGTATCATGAAGTAGACAGGGAATAACCATTTACACTTTTCATACAAGAAAATTGGGGTTAAAAGAAGGAAGTCACTCCACCAGTGACTAATTAGGAAAGATGGATCTCAAGCAAAGGTCTTCAGACTGCAGACTCCAGAGCATAGAGCCTTTTATGACAAGGACCCCCAAAAGTCATAGGACCCTTTATCAGAATCTGGTTAAGCACAAACATTTTCACTTGCTTTAGTAGTGAGTTACTGGTTTAGCTGGATTGATTCACAACTCTAATGTTCTATTTCTTACAGGACCAATCCAAAAGGTCAGGTAGGAAAACTTCCCAAAAGGGAACAGGAATTGACAAAACCAAACCATTCTTTAAAGTAGGTGTCTTAGCTATCTAAGGTAGCTGGCTAGGAGAGATAGTTTGGATGAGCTTAGCCAGCAAGCTCACAAGTGGCCAGGCATGGTGTTTTTAACAGGGTAAGTATTTAGGACACATTTGTGAATAAATGGATGAATTAATACAGCTAGCCACTGATGAAGGAAGAATCAATGAAAGAGATTCTTGGTCTGATAAGAGAGCACCAAGATAACACAATCAGACTCAGGACACATTGTAAGTCAGGGCAAAAGAAATCAAACACAATTTTCTGTTCTAAAACTACTGGTGTAGATTTTTAACTAATGGCCACTGTCCTCATTAGAAATAATTAGCATGTGAAAATGTTCTGGTGAGAATGAATTATGGTCAATTGCTTTCATCCAAAAGCTAAATGTGATTATTATAACACTTGTTGGGCCCCTAATGAGGAGCATTTATGGTGAATGACTTATCACTTCTAGCCCTAACTCCATTTTGTCTCCTCTAACACAGCTTGCAATGAAGTCATTTAGGCATACTCCAGGAAGATCCTCATCCCTGGCTTCAATGCCCTTTACCAACCCCTACCAAAGTCTCACTTACCTTAGCTCTTCTTACCCTCCAATTCAGCCATTAATGAGTGTCTTTAAAAGTTTGCAAATTAATAATTTGTGCCAATAATGTGTTGACATTTATTTATACTATTTATTGTTGTTTTGATTCGCCTTTCTCTAATGATTAGTGATGTTGAGCATTCGTTCATGTGTTTGTTGGCAATCTGTACATCTTCTTTGGAGAAATGTCTATTTAGGACTTCTGCCCATTTTGGGATTTTTTTTTTTTTGATATTGAGTTGCATGAGCTGCCTATAAATTTTGGAGGTTAATCCATTGTCAGTTGCTTCACTTGCAAATATCTTCTCCCATTCTGAGGGCTGTCTTTTCATCTTGTTTCTGGTTTCCTTTGTTGTGCAAATCTTTTAAGTTTCATTAGGTCCCATTTGTTTATTTTTGTTTTTATTTCTGTTTCTCTAGCAGGTGGGTCAAAAAGGTTCTTGCTGTGATTTATGTCATAAAGTGTTCCGCCTATGTTTTGCTCTAAGAGTTTTATACTATCTGGCCTTACATTTAGGTCTTTAATCCATTTTGAGTTTATTTTTCTGTATGGTGTTAGGGAGTGTTCTAATTTCATTCTGTTACATGTAGCTGTCCAGTTTCCTAAGCACCAATTACTGAAGAGGCTGTCTTTTCTCCACTGTATATTCTTGAATCCTTTATCAAAAATAAGGTGACCATAGATGCGTGGGTTAATCTCTGGGCTTTCTATCCTGTTCCACTGATCTATATAGCTGTTTTTCTGCCAGCACCATACTGTCTTCTTTACTGTAGCTTTGTAGTATTGTCTGAAGTCAGGGAGCCTGATTCCTCCAGGTATGTTTTTCATTCTCAAGATTGCTTTGGCTATGTGGGGTTTTTGTGTTTCCACATAAATTGTGAAAATTTTTTTTCTAGTTTTGTGAAAAATGCCATTGGTACTTTGATAGAGATTGCACTGAATCTGTAGATTGCTTTGGGTAGTATACTCATTTTCACAATGTTGATTCTTCCAATCCAAGAACATGGTATATCTCTCCATCTGTTGGTATCATCTTTAATTTCTTTCATCAGTGTCTTATATGTTTCTGCATAAAGGTCTTTTGTCTCCTTAGGTAGGTTTATTCCTAGGTATTTCATTCTCTTTGTTGCAATGGTAAATGGGAGTGTTTCCTTAACTCCTCTTTCAGATTTTTCATCATTAGTGTAAAGGAATGCAAGAGATTTCTGTGCATTAATTTTGTATCTTGCTACATTACCAAATTCATTGATTAACTCTAGTAGTTTTCTGGTAGCATCTTTAGGATTCATGTCATCTGCAACGAGTGACAGCTTTACTTCTTCTTTTCCAATTTGGATTCCTTTTACTTCTTTTTCTTCTCTAACTGCTGTGGGTAAGACTTCCAAAACTATGTTGAAAAATAGTGGTGAGAGTGGAAAACCTTGTCTTCTTCCTAATCTTAGTGGAAATGGTTTCAGTTTTCACCATTGAGAATGAAGTTGGCTGTGGGTTTGTCATATACAGCCTTTATTAGGTTGAGATAAGTTACCTCTATGCCTACTTTCTGGAGAATTTTTATCATAAATGGGTGCTGAATTTTGTTGAAATCGTTTCCTGCATCTATTAAGATGACCACATGGTTTCTCTCCCCCAGTTTGTTAATATGGTTTGTCACACTGATTGATTTGTGTATATTGAAGAATCCTTGCATGCCTGGGATAAACCCCACTTGATCATGGTGTATGATCCTTTTAATGTGCTGTTAGATTCTGTTTGCTAGCATTTTGTTGAAGATTTTTGCATCTATGTTCATCAGTGATATTGGCCTGTAGTTTTCTTTCCTTGTGACATCTTTCTCTGGTTTTGGTATCAGGGTGATGCTAGCCTCGTAGAATGAGTTTGGGAGTGTTCCTCCCTCTATTATACTTTGGAAGAGTTTTAGAAGGATACGTATTAACTCTTCTCTAAATGTTTGAATAGATTCTGCCTGTGAAGCCATCTGGTGCTGGGCTTTTGTTTTTTGGAAGATTTTAAATCACAGTCTCCATTTCAGTGCTTGTGATATGTCTGTTTATATTCTCTATTTCTTCCAGATTCAGTCTCAGAAGGTTGTGCTTTTCTAAGAAATTGTCCATTTCTTCCAGGTTGTCCATTTTATTGGCATATAGTTGCTTGTAGTAGTCTCTCATGAGCCTTTGTATTTCCACAGTGTCAGTTGTTACTTCTCCATTTTCATTTCTAATTCTATTGCTTTGCATCTTTTCCCTTTTTTTCTTGATGACTCTGGCTAATGGTTTATCAATTTTGTTTATCTCCTCAAAGAACCAGCTTTGGGTTTTATTGATCTTTGCTACTGTTTACTTCATTTCTTTTTCATTTATTTCTGATCTGATCTTTATGATTTCTTTCATTCTGCTAACTTTGGGGGGGGGTTGTTCTTCTTTCTCTGATTGCTTTAGGTATAAGGGTAGCTTGTTTATTTGAGATATTTCTTGTTTCTTGAGGTAGGATTGTATGGCTATAAACTCCCCTCTTAGAACTTCTTTTGCTGCATCCCATAGGTTTTGGGTCATCGTGTTTTCATTGTCATTTGTTTCTAGGTATTTTTAAATTTCCCCTTTGATTTCTTCACTGGTCTCTTGGTTATTTAGTAGTGCATTGTTTAGCCTCCATGTATAAACAGATTTTTTCCTGTAATTGATATCTAGTCTCATAGCATTGTGGTCAGAAAAGATACTTGATATAATTTCAATTTTTGTAAATGTACCAATACTTGATTTGTGACCCAAGATATGCTCTATCCTGCAGAATGTTCCATGAGCACATGAGAAGAAAGTTTATTCTGTTGCTGTTGGATGGAATGTCCTATAAATATCAATTAAGTCCACCTTCTTTAATGTATCATTTAAAGTTTGTGTTTCCTTATTTGTTTTCATTTTGGATGATCTGTCCATTGGTGTAAGTGTGGTGTTACAGTCCCCTATTATGATTGCATTACTGTTGATTTCCCCTTTTATGGCTGTTAGCATTTGCCTTACGTATTGATGTGCTCCTATGTTGGGTGCATCAATATTTACAGTTGTTATATCTTCCTCTTGGATTGATCCTTTGATAATTATGTAGTGTTCTTCTTAGTCTCTTGTAATAGTATTTATTTAAGGCCTACTTTTTCTGATATGAGAATTGCTATACCAGCTTTCTTTTGATTTCCATTTGCATGGAATATCTTTTTCCATCCCCTCACTTTCAGTATGTGTGTGTCCCTAGGTCTGAAGTGGCTCTCTTGTAGACAGTATATAAATGGCTCTTGTTTTTGTATCCATTCAGCCAGTCTATGCCTTTTGGTTGGATAATTTACTCCATTTACATTTAAGGTAGCTGTTGATATGTATGTTCCTATTACCATTTTCTTAATTGCTTTGAGTTTGTTATTATAGGCCTTTTCTTTCTCTTGTGTTTCCTGCCTAGAGAAGTTCCCTTAGCATTTACTGTAAACTGGTTTGGTGGTGTTGAATTCTCTTAGCTTTTGCTTGTCTTTAAAGGTTTTAATTTCTTTGTTGAATCTGAATGAGATCCTTGGTGGGTAGAGTAATCTTGGTTGTAGGTCTTTCCCTTTCATCATTTTAAATATGTCCTGCCACTCCCTTCTGGCTTACAGAGTTTCTGCTGAAAGGTCAGCTGTTAATGTTATGGGGATTCCGTTGTATGTTATTTGCTGTTTTTCCCTTGCTGCTTTTAATGTTTTTTCTTTGTATTTAATTTTTGACAGTTTGACTAATATGTGTCTTGGCATGTTGCTCCTTGGATTTATCCTGTATGGGACTCTCTGTGCTTCCTGGACTTGATTGACTATTTCCTTTCCCATATTAGGGAAGTTTTCAACTATAATCACTTCATATATTTTCTCAGTCCCTTTCTTTTTCTCTTCTTCTTCTGTGACCCCTGTAATTCGAATGTTGTTGCACTTAATGTTGTC